GATGGGAAGGGGAAACAAAGGAGGAGACTACAATGCTTGATAAGAAATGTACTCATTATCTTGCCCATGTAATTGTAACCCCTCTGTACAGTACAGTATTTTCACAATAAAAAACAAAAACAAAACAAAACAAAAAAATGCTTAGGGACAGCATAGGCCCTGCACCAAAACAAAAACCAGTTTATTCATTATTCAATGAGAGGGTGTAGTTGTACCAATATCCAGGACATAAGTAAAGTCAAATCTTAAATAAGTCTTATTCTGAAATTTTCAAACAAGTAGAATAAGTAGTTACCACTGGCCTTTATTTAACTCTGGACTATTAACAATGCCTAGAGATATTTTTGGTTGTCAAAATTAGAAGGGCAGATAGTTGCTGACCAGAAATTTTGCTAAACATTTTACAAAACGTAAAGACAAACCTCTCTTTTCCCCATTAAAATTTACCTAGCTTGAGATGTCAGTAGTGGGGCTGTGAAGGTGGCTCAGTGGTAGTGTGCTTGCCTTGCATGCATGAGGCCCTGGGTTCGATTCCTCAGTACCACATAAGCAGAAGAAAATCAGAAGTGGTGCTGTGGCTCGAGTGGTACAGCACTAGCCTTAAGCTGAAGAGCTGAGGGGCAGCACCCAGCCCCAGAGTTCAGGCCCTACAACTGACAAAAAAAAAGAGTTAAGAAATCCTGGTATCTATCAGAAATCATGGTATCTCCATGTTCTCAACAGCTCAGTGACAGTCTTCTTTATTCCTTCTCCCAGGAAGCACGTTCAGTACGTCTTTTATCTCTAAACTTTCAGAAGAAATAAAGGCTTTAAAAAATTAACAGCGCCTTTATCGTGTGTATTTGTGTTGGAGTGTTTGTTTGTTTCTGGTACTGGGGATTGAACCCAGGATCACACACATTAAAATTAAAGGCTCCTTGATCCATGCAGACACACCCTCACACTTTTTTTTTGGTCAGTTGTGGGGCTTGAGCTCTGGGCCTGGGCCCAGTCCCTCAGCTCTTCAGCTCAAGATGAGCGCTCTACCACTTGAGCCACTGTGTCACTTCTGGTTTTCTGGTGGTTTATTGGAGATAAGAGTCTCATAGACTTTCCTGCTCGGGCTGGCTTTGACCCTCTCATATCTCAGCCTCCTGAGTAGCTAGGTTTACAAACGTGAGTCACCAGCACTCAGCACATATTTTTATTAATTTTACTCAGTTTATGGAGCTCAGGACCTTACACTTGTTAAGCACACACAGTGTTACTTGAGCCAGGCCCACAGCACTTTTACTTTCACTATTTTTTGGTTAAGTCTAGCCTGAGTCCCGGTTCTCTTATCTATGCCACCACCCTAGTTGAGATGACAGACAAGTGTTACTGCATACCCAACTTATTGGCAGAGATGAGGGTCCCATGAACTTTCTCAGCAAGCTAGTTCCCAACTGTGATCCGCCCAGTCTCTACCTCCTGAACAGCTAGGATTATAGGACTGAGCCAATACATCTACCAGATACTTATTTTTTTTTTTGGCTGTCCTGAGGATTGAACTCAAGTCTCACACTAGGTTGGTACTTCCTTTACCACTTAAGCTTGCCTTGAGCCTGTTTTTTTTTGGCAGTCCTGGGGCTTGAACTCAGGTTCTGGGCACTGTCCCTAAGCTGCTTTTGCTCAAGGCTAACTCTCTACCACTTGAGCCACAGCACCACTTCTGGCTTTTTCTGTTTATGTGGTACTGAGGAATTGAACCCAGGGCTTCATGGATGCTAAGCAAGCCACATTCCCAGCCTCCAGCCTGTTTTATTAAAGTTACTTTAAAAATGTGTGTGTTTATGCATATGTGTATGCGCGTGTGCCTGCACGTGCGGTGCATTCTTGTAGCAGGGCTTGAACTCCGAGCCTGAGCTGCTTTTGCTTAAGGCCAGTGCTCTAGCTCTTGAGCCACAGCTCTGCTTCCGGCTTTTTTGGTGGTTTAGTGGAGATAAGAGTCTCCTTATGATAAGACTTTCTTTCCTGGATTGGCTTCAAACTGCAATCCTCAGATCTTAGCTTCCTGAGTAGCTACTCAGCAACCAGCTACAAAGGAGATGTATATAGAAACTGGCCTATAGCAAGACTATGTAGTGAAGCCAGGTACCTGCATCTTGATCAGTGTCACCTCTTTCATCATTCTCTGTTTTGCTTTTGAGATAGAGACTAATTTTTCCCAGGCTGGCCTCAAGTTTGCTATCCTCTACCTTGCCTCCTGAATAACTGGAGTTACAGTCCTGTATCACCATACTTAGCTATTTTTGGATTCTTGAGACAGAGCCTCACTGTTTAGCCCATACTGACCTGGAACTCCCTAGTTGACCCAGGCTGACCTCAAAGTTGTCTGTTTTCCTGCTCAGCCTTCTGAGTGCAGGGCTTATAGATGTGTAATCACCATGCTTAGCTACTTGATTGTTTTTTATTTTCGTGCTGGTCCTGGGTCTTGAACTCAAGGCCTGGGCACTGTCCCTGAGTTGTTTTGCTTAAGACTAGCACTCTTCCACTTTGAGCCACAGTTCCATTTCCAGTTCTCTTGTGGTTCATTGGAAATGAGTCGCTCACAGCTTTTCCTGCCAGGGCTGGACTTTGAAGCATGACCCTCAAATCTCAGCCTCCTAAATAGCTAGGATTATAGGCTCCAGCCACTGTCTTGTGGCTATTAGTCATCTTCTAATAACCAGTAGAAACTTAGAGAGTTATAAAGCATGTTATTTATGTAGTAATTACTTAGAAACTTCAGTACACAATCTTGTATCTGTTACCTATTTCGAAGACTTCATTCTGCACAGGCTGTGGTGGCCCATGCTGTAGTCTAAGCTTTTGGGTGGCGGAGGCAGAAGGATTAGAAGTTTAAGGCCAGCCAAAAAAAGTTAAATTTTATTATTCTGAAATATAGCTAGATTTTATCCCTGCAGTTTGTCCCCAGAGTAAGGGAATACAGCCCCTTCTGATCTCTCCTGGGAGGACTAAGGCAGGCATTGTCTCTCATGTCCATTTTACAATTTTTTTTTTTTGGGGGGGGTCTGGTTGTGGGGCCTGAACTCTGGGCCTGGGCGCTATCCCTCAGCTCTTCAGCTCAAGGCTAGCGCTCTACCACTTGAGCCACAGTGCCACTTCTGGCTTTTTTCTTTTTCTTATGTGGTGCTAAGGAATCGAACCCAGGGTCTCATGCATGCAAGGCAAGCGCTCTACCACTGAGCCACCTTCCCAGCCACAATTTTACATTAAATATGAACAACAAAAAACCTCTTGGATTCTTGTGTGGGGTGCTTTAATATCTTACACAATAGGCTGAAGAAAATACAAGGTTGGGGCTGGGAAGGTGGCTCAGTGGTAGAGCGCTTGCCTTGCATGCACGAGGTCCTGTGTTCGATTCCTCAGCACCACATAAGCAAAAAGAAAAAAGCCAGAAGTGGTGCTGTGGCTCAAGTGGTAGAGCATTAGCCTTGAGCTGCAGAGCTGAGGGACAGCGCCCAGGCCCAGAGTTCAGGCCCCACGACTGGACAAAAAATAATAATAGAAAAAAAGAAAATACAGGGTTGATTTGCATATGCACCCAGTTGTACAGAGTAATGGAGAGAGTAGAGGTTGGATAGAGGAGAAGTTTTCTGATGAAAACAATGGACTTTTCTTTTTGGGTGTCTGTTATAGTTTGGGTGTTGAATGGCCCCCAAAGGTCTTTTTGTTTTTTTTTTTTGGGTCCGGTCGTGGGGCCTGAACTCTGGGCCTGAGCTCTGTCCCTCAGCTCTTCAGCTCAAGGCTAGGGCTCTAACACTTGAGCCACAGCACCACTCCGGCTTTTTTCTTTTTGCTTATGTGGTGCTGAGGAATCGAACCCAGGGCCTCTGGCATGCAAGGCAAGTGTACCACTGAGCCGCCTTCCCAGCCCCCAAAGGTCTTATCTACTACTTAAGGCTTGTTGCCCAGTGTGGAGATACTGGCACATTCTTTGGTCACTTGGTAGCTGGGGGTGAGCTCTCAAAGGGGATTGTGGAACCCTGGCCTCATCTCACTCCAAGTTTTCTTTTGTTCACCATCTTTCTGACTCATGAGGTGAGTAGTTTACTCTGCCTTCCCCACCGTTGGCTGTCAGGGCCCCAACCAGAGGGCAAAAGCAATGGGCCTGTCTGGGTTTGGACTGGAATCTCCAGAACTATGAGATAAAGAAACTTTTTCTTAAGAGTTTACCTCAGGGCTGGGAAGGTGCCTCAGCAGTAGAGTGCTGCTTGCCTTGCATGCATGAGGCCCTAGGTTCGATTCCTTAGTACCACATAAGCAGAAAAAAGCTGGAGGTGGCACTGTGGCTCAAGTGGTAAAGTGCTAGCCTTGAGCTGAAAAGCTCAAGGACAGCGCCCAGATCCAGAGTTTAGGCTCCGTGACTAACAACAACAACAAAAAGTTTACCTCAAGCCTGGCATTGGTGGCTCACAGCTGAGAACTGAGGATTGTAGTTTGAAGCCAGCCCAGGCAGGAAAGTCTGTGAACCTCTTACCTCCAATGAACCACCAGAAAACCAGAAGTGGCCCTGTGGCTCAAAGTTGTAGAGCACTAACCTTGAGCAAAAGAAGCTCAGGGACAATGCCCACACCCTGAATTCAAGCCCCAGGACTGGCAAAAACCAAACAACAAAACCTTCAGCATTGTACTCTAGCCATTTTCTTTTTTCCCTCAGTATTGAGTTTGAATTCATAGTCTAATGCTCTCTTGATTTGTTTGCTTAATTGGTGCTCTACAACTTTTTTTTTGATCAGTCATGGGGCTTGAACTCTGAGCCTAGGCACTGTCCCTGAGCTCTTCAGCTCAAGGCAAGTACTATACCACTTGAGCCACAGCGCCACTTCCATTTTTCTGGTAGTTTATTGGAGGTAAGGTCTCATGTACTTTCCTTGTCCTGGCTGGCTTTGAACTGTGATTCTCAGATCTCAGCCTCCTGAGTAGCTAGGATTACAGGTGTGAACCATCGGTGCCGGCTTTCTACAACTTCTTTAGCCATGATTCCAGGCCAGCTTTTTGTTGGCTATTGTGCATATGGAATCTTATGGAATTTTCTTCCACAGCTGTCTTTGAACTACAATCTTTTAGATTTTAGCCTCTTGAGAAGCTAGGATTACAGGCATGAATCACCAGTGCCTAAACTGATTTTTTTTTTTTTTTTGGTCCGGTTGTGGGGCCTGAACTCTGGGCCTGGGCGCTGTCCCTCAGCTCTTCAGCTCAAGGCTAGGGATCTACCTACCACTTGAGCCACAGCGCCACTTCCGGCTTTTTTCTTTTTGCTTATATGGTGCTGAGGAATGGAACCCAGGACCTCATGCATGCAAGGCAAGCGCTCTACCACTGAGCCACCTTCCCAGCCCCTATACTGATATTTTTATATTTCCATTCTTTTTCTTTTTTGGTACTTGGTCTTGGGGGCTTGACCTCAGGGCCTGGGTGCTGTCCTTGAGTTTTTTTGTTCAAGGCTAGTGCTCTATCACTAGAGCCAAAGCTCTACTTGCAGCTTTTTTGGTGGTTAATTGAAGACAGTCTCATGGGCTTTCCTGCCTGGGCTGGCTTTGACTGCAGTTCTCAGATCTCAGCCTCCTGAGGAGCTAGGATGACGGGTGAGCCACTGGTGCCTGGTTACATAACCATTCTTTATGCAATCAGTCTACAATAGCAGATTCTAGAGTGAGAATGCTGGAAAGGAGTAGGCCTAGAACCACCTCTCGTTTGCCTTTTGCTCTTATACTTTCTAGAATGCAAGCATCTTTTGTGGAAAAGGTGTTTGAGGCTTTTTTTTTTTTAATGACATTCTTTCCACATTCTGTCTCCAACTCTTTCCTTGACTTTCCTTACCTCACCTAATACCTGTCCTAAGCTTGCCAGTGGTATCTTTGGCATGTGTTAGCATTGCACGTAGAGTAGATTTAGTATTTTATTTTTTCTTCTCAAATCATTGAAAATAAGGCTACCATCTAGACATTGAAGATACTTGATGATAAAGAAACTTCCACATACTATGGTAATGTATTTGTTTCTTTTTCTGTTAACTAAATTCAGATTCTTAAAGTATTTCTTGTTGATTATTTAGTTGCTTATTGCTGTGGAACAAACCACTCAACTACTTAGTAGTATAAAACAAGAAACATCTTACATTCACAGTTAATGTGGAAGAAATTTCATTAAGATATGGCTTATTGCCAGTCCCTGATGGCTCATGCCAGTAATCCTAGCTACTCTGGAGCCTGAGATTTTAGGATCATGATTCAAAGCCATCCGGGGCAGGACTACCTGTGAGACTCTTATCTCCAACTAATGATCAGAAAACCGGAAGTGGCCCTGTGGCTCAAGTGGTAGAGTGCTGCTACCCTTGAGCTGAAGAGCTGAGAGACTGGGCCCAGGCCTAGAATTGAAGCCCCACAACTGACAAAAAGAAAGATGTGGCTTATCTCTATTCTACCAAGACTAGACCCTCAGTTGAAGGGGACCCTGAAATTGAGTGGGTAGAATTTTTGTTGTTGTTGCTTTTGTTTTGGGTGCTGGTACTGGGGGGTCTTGGCCTGGGCACCATCCCTGAGTTTTTGTGCTCTGTCACTTGAGCTACACCTTCACCTCTAGCTTTTTGGGTGGTTAATTGGACATAGGAGTCACATGAACTTTCCTGCTCAGGTTGGCTTTGAACCTTGATCCTCATATTTCAGCCTCCTCAGTACCTAGGGTTACAGGCAGAAATCACAAGAGCTCTGCTCTAAGGTCATGTTTTTAAACCACTACAGTAATAACTCTGTGTTTATAGAATCTAACCTGGTATTTTATTCTGCGGCCTGTGTACTCTAGTTAGCTTATCTGTAAGATAAGCGGACTAGATGATAATGTCCTGACATGATTAGGCCTCTTATGACCTAGTTCCTTTACTTTAAAAAAAAATTATTTTTTGGTACCAGTCCTGGGCACTGGCCCTGAACTTTTTTGCTCAAGGCTTACACTACCACAGCTCCACTTCTGGGTTTTTGGTCATAGTTAATTTTAGAGATAGAGTCCCATGGACTTTCTCACCAGACTAGCTTTCAGTCAGAACCCTCAGATCTCAGTCTTTTTTTGGGGGGG